AAAAAAATTTTGCAAACACAAATAGATTTCTTTTATTTGTTTTCCTTCATAAGTACTGATATTATATGAGCACATGATCCCTTAGTTTTTACTAATAATTTGAATTTCGAAGTCTTCATCTGGTGAAGCTGATTCATCATTGCCAAACTAATTATTCTAACCACCATTACTAGTATGAATTGCATTTTCTTAATTCGTATCGATCTTTTGTATTTTTAATGATTTGAAATTGTTGAAATTTGCTTTACAAGTGTTATGTTTTTCAAAAAAAATTTATTTGTTTTATGAACCAATTATAAAATTACAATTACTGATTGTATAAATAGTACAATTTTGTGAAATATAAAATTACATATTAAGATATTCAATGTTTACATGTTGACATGGTGTAATTAAATATGTATAATATAAAAATATTAAGTATGGTAATTGAATATTTCATTAACTCATTTAAATCATTAAAGAAAGTTTTGCTTTCATATGATTTGTATATTTATAATAATTTATAAATTATGAATAATTTACATATAAGTAATATAATGTGTAATATTTATTTGACTTAAAAATAAAGAAAGTATACATTTTTTGATATGAAAATTTTTTTTTTATGTTAGTAATACAATGTTAAACCTTTTTTAAGTGATGATAATAATTATATTAAATATTAACCACCAGGGTCAAAAATAAAAATGACATGCTTAATGCAAATCATTTTCATGATGTATTTAACAAAAGAATGTGTGTAGTTTTGAAAAGACCAATAATATTTATTTAAAGAATTATAAAATATACTTTTAGAATATAAAATGTTTCTTCTAAAATTAATACTTTTCATATAAGAATTTAAGTTATAATTGTAAAGTACAGGTTTACCTAATAAAAATGAAATCATTTTATTAAATATATTTTGCAAACTTATAGTTTTAAAATCTTGAGTTATTTTCATAGTATTACGAATGTAATAAAAATAAGTCGAATCTAATTTCAAACGACTTGATGGTTTCACATATACCTGTAAAAACTTACAATTGAATTGTATAATGTTAAAATGTTGAACATTTTCAATGACCTTTAATAAATTTATTTTACTTTGGATTAACATATGATTTTTTTCATTTTTATTATTTGAATTTTTGTCTGAAATGACTAAAGAATTTGAATAAAGGTTTTTGATATTAATTAATGCTGGTGCTATAAAATTGAAATTTTCTACTTGTTTGTTTGACTCTACTTTTTGTGTTAAACTATTAGATTTATTTAAATTTGGAAAAATAAAATTCTCAATTACATTTTCTTCATCTGCTGCTTTAATTGCAACAATATCATTAAACTGTAAATTATTATATGGTGTTATTATTTTAGAGACTTGTTTGTGATCAGAACTAATTAAATGAGATAACATATTAATTGTTTTGTCTTCCATATCTACAACGGCTGGCTTACTTTCATGTGTATGCGTATTAGTGTTTAAAATTGTGTTATTTAGTTTTTCATTATGTTTTGTTTTTATTGACAAATTATTTTCATTAATGATTAAATTATTAATGCCAATATTATTGTCAACATCATTGGCAATATTATTGTATTGTTTTTTGTTTATGTGTTTAAAAATAGATTCTTTTAAATTGTCTATAGATTCAAATTCTGTAAAATTTATTGTTTTTAAAGGAATATCTCTTGATGGTTTATTTGATTGTGTTCCTGGAATCCAGTGTGTATTTTTATCTACATTGTATAGGACTATAGGTGGGCGATTACCTAAACCATAAATGATTCCAGTTTTATCTGTATCATTAAAGATATATGTGTCATGATTGTAATAATTTGCAATAGCTGCTAATTCATCGTCACTAAACCAATAATTAGGTAAATCAGATAATTCTAAAAGTTCTAAAATTTCAAATACTGAAGTTACTTTTTCAGTTTTCCCGTCATTAAGTGCATTAATAATTGCAAAAAACCCACAATTGTTTTCACTATAAATATTTTCTCCCTTTTTATAATATTTAAAAATGTTTAAGTTAATATTATTATTCTGATTATAATTATTGACTTTGCTATTGACATTATCACTATTGTGAATATGATTACTAGTGTCGTTTAAATTTCTATCATCGTAAAATTGTTTAATTGTATTTATGACTGAAATATGCTCTTTAGTTTTCCAATCATTAGTAATATATTCATTATCTTTATGACATATTAAAACATTAATACTAGTATTTAAGAAAATAGAACAGATCATCTGTTTAATTATAGTCCATTCTTTTTTATCTAGACCTGATGCTATTCTAGGCATTGCAATATGATTATCATGATGTTTTATCATTTGAATTTTTAAATTGTTTAAAGCCTTTTCAATATTCACATATTCTGGCTTTTCGAAATAATAATTTTTTGTAATTAAAAAATAAATAATTCTACCATTAGTGCAGACTGGAATAGCATCACCTATCTTTGGTTTTAATTTATATAAAGTTGGAGCCATATTACCATATTTGTTACATATCTCCAAGGCTATGCCATTACTCATTTTAAGATCAACTGAAATACAATGTGCTATTGAATAATAATCATACACTGTAAACAGATCCATTACTTTTTCAGTAAAATTAGAATTTAATTGATTAAGATTTAAATTATTGTCCAAATATATAGGTAATTGAATTTGATCATTCAAACACATTGTTTGTCTATCAAAATCAATGACACAATTGTTTTTGTCTAAAAATTCATTTCCAAGAATAATCATGCAAGATAAGTTTTTTACTACGAAAACTTTAATGATAAAATCTATTGATTCTATATTTAAGATAATATTTGTTGTTCCTAAAATATTTAATGGTCTATTGTCAGGACCACATATATTTGAAAAATATTGTGATTTGATCTGATTGTTTGAAATTAAAGTATGTGTTACGCAACATATATTTGATCCCGTGTCAATGGTGATAGGCATTTTAATATCATTAAATAAAGCATAAAAATGTAAAGCAATAGGAACGTGACTTTCTTGAGTCACATTATTTATAATATTGTGTGCTGATTTAAAAGGTAAACTGTTTTCTTCAGCACTATCGTTTAACCTAGAAATTAGTTTTTTGAATTTTTTGGACAGTTACGAGCTGTATGGCCCATAAGGTCACATAATTGACATTTTGTTTTGTTAATATTATAAAAACAGTTTTCTGAATTGTGATTACTCCTAGCACAATAATTACATTTTAAAGTATTTGATTTGTAATTCTGTGAATTACGATTCATCTGAAAGTTATTGTTATTTTGAAAATTTTCCCTTTGATTAAACTGTGGTCTGTAAATTTGTTGAGAATTACTTTTAAATTGTGAAAAATTTCGATCATTATTTTTGAATTTTGAATAATTATTATTATGTAATTTGATATTTCGATTATAATTATCATAAGGTATATATTGCTTTTGAAATTGATCGTAATTTGATGAAAAGTTATTTTTAGAACTATTATTATTTTGAAATTGATTATTGTTATAGCATGGTGAATTATTATTAAATTTATTACTATTTTGAAATTGATTTTTATAACGTGAATCGTTATTATTATTCTGAAATTGATTATTTCTTTGTAAAAACTTGTTAGATGAGTTATTATAATTTTGAAATTGCCTATTAATAGGTATAAGATTAATATGTTCATTAAAAAATCGTTCTTGATTTTGTTTTAAATTTTGAAATTCCTCTATTAATTTTTTTAAATCATCATTCTCGTTATTCTGGGTAATTTTATTAATTTTTTCATTAATTATAGATTGTTTGATTTCAGACGGACTTTTAGCTGTTTCTCCAGTAATCATAAATTCAACCATCTCATATTTCTGAATGTTTCTTTTTAACTCGTCTAAATTATTATTGTCTAAAATACTAACGTATCTCGCAATGCTTGGTTTGAGACCTTTCATAACATTTCTCACTATTTCGCTACCTAACATATTAGCATCAATTCTTTTACACAAAGCTTCCATATCATTAATATAAGCAACTGTTTGTTCATCATCTAACTGTTTTCTTTTTTCTAATAAAATACGTAACATATCATTCTGAGCAATGGGTTCAAATTCATTCCTAAACTTTTTCTCTAATTCATTCCAGGGTAATTTTAATGACTCAATATTATCATAAAAAGTTAATGCTGAGCCTTGTAAAAATGCAACTAAATATTGCGGTTTTTCATTATCTGACCAATTATTAATTAACGCTGCTCTATTAAATGTTTTTAAGAATGAGTCTACGCGTTCATTTATTCCACCCGAAAATGTAGTTGGTTTGAAAAATAAATTTTTATTCATGTTGAAATTATTAGTTACTTTGGGTGAATTTGAATTTTGATCAATAATATTTTTATTATTAGTTTGCGTTAGTGTTTTAGGTAGAAAAAACCAAAATAGCCTAACTTTTAATTCTGATACAGTGCCTGTGGTAGATAACTTTCTTAATTCAAGTTCTTTAATAAGATCGGGTCTTTTTAAACTATTAATCCATTCTAATGTTTTTTTGTATTCGTCTGGAATACCTTGTATCTCAATTAATTCTACTTCCTCTGACATAACTCTAAATATTCCCTTATACAATTTTATTCTCAAATTCTGTATTATTCAAATAAATTGATTCTCAACTCGTAATTTTTCTTTTTTATTTCAAAATGTTAATTTAAATAATTTTAAGTTACGCGCAATTTTAAATATAAAATTCAATTTATATAATAAGCCTATTTAATTTTTTTAAATTTAAACGACTTTTAATGTAAGAGCAATAGTAGGGTGAAAAAAGGGATTTTGGTTCCCCCCGCTTCACCCACCCACCACACCGCATGTGATGTAGGTGAAGAGGTGTGGAGGGGGGAATAAATCCAACGTAAACTAACATAATGCAATGGGAGAGGGAACGTTGAAACCCAACGTAAACTAACCTAAGGCAGTTGAGGAACCTCTCCTATTCCACCAAGTCTTATGATAGGGGGGTAATGAAACACGACGTTAACTAACACAACTTGTCGCGCACCTAAATTATGCTCAGCCATATAGTATATACGTAATATCGTTTTTTGACGAAAAAAAAAAAATGCATTTTCCAGGTAAGTTATACGGTTACGGTGAAAAGTATGAATTTTAAACGTCCAATCCGTTATTTTGATATGCGACATGCATATATTTAGATAAAGTCTGTACGTAAAATGTTAATTTTACCTAATTTGTAAAAAAAAAAAAATTAGTTCGAAACATTGTGTGCCAGATGGCTGTATTGATGATTATACTATAGCACTCGAGATAAATACAGCAGATGGCTTAACGCGGCGTCGATGTCGCCGTCAATTACATTAATTTTTAATATACGATCTATAAGTTTGACCGTTATTGGTATAGTGAATAATAAATCAGTATTTTTTTTTTTNTGTTGGATCGCCACAAATAGTTTTATATAATTTTTTTTAAATAGTTAAATATAGTAATTAATACGATTACTACAATAGTCATTAACTGTTATATAAAATATCGACCACATAGTCTGTTAAACAAGAATAAAATACAATAAATTTATTTACTTTTGCACACTGTGCAAAAAAATACAAAAATAATTAACATACCATATTACAATAATAATAAGATGTTTTAGTATGCCATTGTGGTGCACTATCCTACAATGGATCCACGTTTTTTCGTCCGACATTGTAAGTTGTCGGACACGGTAATGGTAAACTTCGAAGAAGACTAAAAAGTGACAAAGCGGCTTATTATCACATAAGAGAGATTATAACAGTATTTAGGATAAGCAGTGCTCGAATTGGAGGGGTGCGCAGGGGGACGTAGATCCTCTACTTTTTTTAAAATTTTTTTGCGCACCCCAACTACTTTTTTTATTGGGACGGGAGGACGGTGGAAAATACGACCTCTTTTTTTTTTTTTTAAATATAGATTTAAATTGTGATCAATTTTATAATTTAAAATATTTTGTAATAAACAAATTTTTTATAATTAATATGATATGATATTTCATTATAGTGTGATAATGAAATATGATTTATTAATAAATACTAAATAAAGTAATGAGTAAAAAAAAAAAAAAGGTCTTCAAATGCTAGGGACGCAGTTTTCAAATTGTTTAGTTGAGCTCCCCTACTTATTTTTGGCCAATTCGAGCACTGAGGATAAGGATAACAGATGGTAGGAACAATTCATTCATATAATAAATAAACATTTGTATATGTGTAACACTAAATTTACAAATGCACGCCGCGCACAATTTGAATATATTACCCCGTGACTTTATGCGTTTTATAATTTTATTACGTTACAAAGTATTATAAGAATGATTTATTTAGATCAATAATAAGATATAAGACTGATTTATCAATTTTTATTATAACTATTAAAAATAGTTTGAAACGAACAAAATATTACTTTAACAATTTTAGAGAGTGATAAATTATGATAAGATATGTATATTTTCTTATTGATACACGAGGCTGATTATTATTACAAAATTGTTCTAAATAATTGTAATTTGATCAGTATCTCATTCAATTTTTAATTTAAAGAAAACTGGTCAACTCTATTTTAAGGTTAATAAAATTAAGTGTTTAAAAGTATTTCATATTTTGTTAAAAATAATTTATTTAATTGCTACATTTTGTAACACTTTTCGTTTTACATATTAAAAATACAAATCGTTACATTTTATTTTTATTTTTAACATTATTACAATGAATATTTAGGTATTCTTAAATTAATTAAATAAATTTTAAAAAACCCAGCACAGGGGGGTCACTACACAGTGGTGACGTGCCATAGTTGATTCAAGTATAATGATATCTGACAGTGATTAAAATCACTATAAAAAAATTACGATTCGATGCAAATCTTAAGATAGTGTTTAATTTTAAAAAAATTGGTGTTTTATTCCAAAAGCTACATAATCTGCTAGTTCCTTATTAATATCTTGATTAAGATAAAGTATGTCGAATGAAAAATGGATTATTAAAAAATATTATTTCTCATACAAAAATTGTGTTGATTCATACACTTTTCAATAAGTTATAGCATTATAAAGTAAAAAATGTAAATTATGAAATCGAGAATTTTCACACAAAAATGGCATTCGGTAGCCATTTTCGCCATGAAGACAAGTCCAGAGGTCAAATTTTTTTTTTCAAATTAAAGTATATTACATTAGCTTTAATTTAAGATATATATAAAAGTGTCAGACCTTCCGGAACACTTTTAAAAGTTAAATTGAAAAAGTAAATTTGTTGTGAAAAAGTTGTCATTTTAAACCCCCCATGTGGCCAGGTTAAGTGTCAGATTTACAAAAAAAATATACCAAATGATAAGTAAAGACATCAAGCATCTATATACAAAAAAAAATTATATTAATATGTTCATTTTTAAAAAAGTTACGGCAGTTTTTATTAAAAAAAAGTGAAAAAAAATTAGAAAATTAGCGATTTTTAAATTTGTAATTATTTTGGAGGTTTCCCCCATTAACGGGGAACGAGGGAAATTTTTTCAATTTTTGAGGGTAATGTCTTCAACTAGATATGATTTTTGATCTTTTGACGTATCGTTGAAAGAAATCAGTTCGGTGAGAGCTGAGAAAAAGTAGTAACAAAAAAAAAAAAACACATAGTAAAACCAATACCTTCTCAGCTTCGCATCGAAGCTAAAATTATATTATTTATCTTTTATTTAATCATAATACTATTTTATATTTTTTCATATATATTTCTGGGATTAATTATTATTATACTTTTTACGTTTATTGCATATATAATATAAAACTTTCTATGCACGCATATTGTCAATCCTAATATGTTTAATTCACATATATCCTAAAAATTGTTGAACATTTTGTAATAAAGGAAATGATTTATTTTTAAATTTTTCTACTTCCAAATCCTGATTATCAGAAGTTGTATTTTCGTTATAAGAAAAGCCTAGATTAGTATACAATTTTGTAGTCATCTTCTGAATTTTTTTTTTAATGTGTACTTCTAAAAATTCGAAATACTCACAAGTTACATCATTTGACTCTTTAAACGATTATATTTTGAAAAATCATCATTTAAACAAGCTTTTATGTTACCAATGTTACAGTTTCGGAGTATTTTAATTAAATTATGATCCTTTTGCATGTAGAGATAAAACTTTTTCTCTAAATTTGAAACACATGACATATTATCTATATTTNGATAAAACTTTTTCTCTAAATTTGAAACACATGTCACATTATCTATATTTATTTCACTGTTTACCGATTCAACAAATTCTATTAATTCTTGTAAAATAAACGGGTTGGTTTCGATGTCTAACAAATTCATTAGGAAATTTATTGCACTAATAAAACGTTTTATAAGTTCGACAGAAATCTCAATACTTGATTTTAATAAATTCACACAAGGATCGAAAAAAATGTCTTCGTTTGGAATATAAGTCATCATATGACATTCGTGATTCAAGCCTTTTAAGTGAACCACGGACCCATGCAAAACTTATGGTATATTCATTATTAATAAGCCATATTGTTTCTTTTAGTTTTTGTTCAACATTATTTTCGACGACGATGTGGTCTATGAAACATTTTTCTACATTAAATAATAGTGAATTTACTGTAAGATAATTTCTACTGTGTCTATCAAATGCTGTCAAATGCTGCATTGAAACATCCCACTTGCTTTTTTGTAAAAATGAATTTAAAAAGTTTATTGCATACTTTTTATCAGTTGCGTTGACAACTAAGATAAATACAAAGATGTAATAATTCATTCTTAGTTAGTGATTAATATGTAATTATTGAAAAACACAGTTGTTATTTTTAAATACTTATGACACACAATTAAGTTTAATTAAAAATTAATTTTTTTCTAATCGCAAAATGAACTATTTGATTAAGTGAATGGCGTACTATGTAATGTAAAATAAACCACGTCACAATTTGTCGTAGAATACAGTTGTTATTAACAGTGTGTTCAATTAATTTATAATAAATTTACACCGATAAAAAATGTTTTTTTATTTTTATTTTCGTATTTAAAATATTCTGTATTTCAGTCTCCATACTAGCAAAACTATTGTTTACACCATTAAAGTTAAGTTATTGGTAAATTTTTCTATTTATAAAATTTTCCATTTTTAATTTCAAAATTAAAAAATAAATTGTCTACAAGTTTTTCACATAGATGAAGAAATCTTCTTGTCTTTTTCTTTTTCGTTATACTAAAATCATTGAACTGAATTATCACAAATCTTCGTTTGTACAATCAGTCAACCACCCAAAAATTATAGACAGACTTAGAATCATTTAAAAATATTCTAAAAATGCCCTGGTTGTAATGGTATCAGCACTTCACACTCATATAACTAAAATTATATCAACTCAAAAAGGAATAATACAAATTCTCGTTAGTAATAAAATAAAGCGACCCATTTAACTTTTGAAAGTCACATTAAGCATAAATTGTTTCTTATATTTATTTTTATAATTAAAATTATTTATAAAAACCCTTAAAAATTGAAAAAAATTCCCTCGTTCCCCGTAAATGGGGGAAACCTCCAAAAAAATTACAAATTTAAAAATCGCTAATTTTCGACATTTTTTCAATTTTTTTTACTTAAAAGTGCCATAACTTTTTCAAAAATGAACATATCAATATAATTCTTTTTTATATAGATGCATAATATCATTACCTTTCATTTGGTATATTTTTTTCATAAATTTAACCCTTAACCTGCCCACAAGGGGGGATTTAAAATGACAACTTTTTCACAAAAAATTAATTTTTTTAACTTAAATTTTGAAAATGTTCCGGAAGTTCTGACACTTTTATATATATTTTAAATTAAAGCTAATGTNGGGGGAAACCTCCAAAAAAATTACAAATTTAAAAATCGCTAATTTTCGAAATTTTTTCAATTTTTTTTACTTTAAAGTGCCATAACTTTTTCAAAAATAAACATATCAATATAATTCTTTTTTATATAGATGCATAATATCATTACCTTTCATTTGGTATATTTTTTTCATAAATTTAACCCTTAACCTGCCCACAAGAGGGGATTTAAAATGACAACTTTTTCACAAAAAATTAATTTTTTCAACTTGATTTTTGAAAATGTTCCGGAAGGTTTGACACTTTTATATATATCTTAAATTAAAGCTAATGTAATAATCTTTATTATGAAAAAAAAAAATTTCGGACTTTATCTTATCTTCACGGTGAAAATGGCTACTGAATGCTATTTTTGTGTGAAAATTTTCGATTTTGTATTTTCCATTTTTAACTTTATTATGCTATAACTTTTTGAAAAATGTATGAATCATTACAATTTTTTTATGAGAAGTAGTATTTATATAGATCTTTCATTCGACATACTGTTTTTTTAAATCGGACCATTTCCCTAAATACAGGGGGGATTCAAAACATAAAAATGCATATAGAAAGTAGAACTTTTTCAACGTAACTTTTGAAAGTGTTCCGGAAGGTCTGACACTTTTATATATATCTTAAATTAAAGCTAATGTAATATACTTTATAATGGTAAAAAAAAATTTCGGACTTTATTTTATCTTCATGGTGAAAACAGACATTAAACTTAATAAAAAAAATACGATTTTTGTAAAAAATTCTTTTTTATATTTTTAACTTTATAATGCTATAACTTTTCGAAAGATCTATGGATCAATATAATTCTTTTTTTTGTAGATGCATGATGTCTTTACCTATCATTTGGTATAATTTTTTTATAAATCTGACATTTTACCTGCCTACAAGGGGGGATTCAAAATGACAACTTTTTCACAAAAAATTCACTTTTTCAACTTAAATTTTGAAAGTGTTCCGGAAAGTCTGGCACTTTTATATATATCTTAAATTAAAGCTAATGTAATATACTTTATCATGGAAAAAAAAAATTTCGGACTTTATTTTATCTTCATGGTGAAAACAGACATTAAA